CCAGAGCCTGGCCAGGTGTGCTGGGGCAGCCGGGCCTCCGCCCAGCATCCCGGAGCCAGTGGCAAACTGGCTCCAGTTTCCTTGAGAACCCCGGAAAGCACTCAGTCAGCAGAAATGCTCAAAGCAAACCAAGCATCACTGACACGAAAGACTAAGGGAACTGATTTTAAGCTCGGCAAACCTTCACTTTCCAGAAGTTGTTTAAAATGAGCAAGATGAAATTTTCAGGGGCAGGGGGAAATGCCCACAGAGAGAGCTTAGGAACACAGAGCTATTTATTAGCAAAGTTTCACGTGTTGCCAGTTGGAGTGCTGACTTCAGGGTTTCTTCTTCCTACCTGCCTGTCACTTCCTTTCCGAAAACAACCTAGTGTGTGTGTGTGTGTGTGTGTGTGTGTGTGTGTGTGTGTCTGCTTGATGCTGTGGGAGAAGATAACTTCAAAAATCAGAAGCTTTTTCTGGATTTGTTTTAACATTGATGGTCTCTTAGAGGCTGAGGTTAACTCCTAAAAGCCCGACCCCAACAGTGAGATGCTGGAAAACCTGGCTGTTTGTAGCTCCATTGTAATAAATATAAGAAGCACTGGAAAGTGAATCAGATTAGGACATTTGAAATTGTTTGGCTTAATGTGTTTTAAATATGACATACCACAAAATGATAATTTTATTAACAAATAAGTTTTCCCCAACACAGATAGGATTTCTTAGGGAAACCTCACTTTTCACCTGTGGCTTCAAAATCTCCACCTTGACATTCTTTTATTTTTTCCTTTCTTTTTTAAAAATAATTCTTAGAGCAAGGGGAAGGGAGGGAGAAAGAGAGGGAGAGAAACATTGACCAGTTGCCTTCTGGCCTGTGTCCTGACCAGGGGTTGGGACTCAGGCAGCAAGCTCTCACCTGTGGGAAGATGCCCAACCCACTGAGCCATGCTGGTCAGGGCTCCGCTTGGACCTTCTGAGTCTCTTGTCTGCAAAAGAGACAGGATGGCAGGAGGCTGAGTCTGATTTTTCCTCCTCCCTTCTTCCCCCCCTGGCTCCGTTAAAGTCTGCTCTCCCTTAGGTGGACCAACCCCACTAAGATGCTCATGGAAACATCTGCCACTGTGGAAGACTTGTTGGGACTGCCCAGGAGCTGGCCGAGGGCAGCCCAGTTCCACGGGGTCAAGGCCACCCAATAAGTAGAGGCTGACCAAAGTGTGCCTCAGTGGACTTTCAGGCTAAAGCCCTGTGGCAATTCTTGTAGAAAACATCCCAAATCATGTTTACTAGCTCTGCCATGGAAGCCAGGGACTCGAGACGCTCAGGGTCCCCACTTAGCCAGTTCTGCCCTGTGTCTCTGCACCGTGGTGTGTGGGAGGGGAAGAGAATGTACCAGGAGTCTGGACCCCGAAGAGGTTCAAGCGAGCTCAAATGTGGGCAAAGTGATCTTGGGGGAAATCTCTTTCCCTCCTCTTTGCTTAATTTCCGCACTTTAAATGATGGGTTGGATTACATAACACTTTAAGGACCTCCTGTCTAGAAGAAATTCTGGTTTGGGGGGTCGGGGGGACAGGGTAGGATGGGGTTTGAGAGATGGCAGAACAGTGTAGCCCCCTCAACCCCCTCCTTGCCTCCCAGGGACCTTGCTCAGCTCCCAGGCTCCACCCCCAGAAGCGTGGCCCCTATTGGAGGGTGTCTTTGCTGTGGAGCTGGGAATTTCCCCCTGGAATAGGTAATTGACCACTGAGGAAACAGAATAGCTACACAGAAGTAACCACCATGCTTTGAGAATATGCTGAGTATCATGTGTCATGCTGGGCATTTACCTATTGCTTATCTTCAAGACAGCCTTTGGTGGGGAGCTTCTTCCACTGCAGAGGTGAACACATGGGGACTCAGAGTGCTCAGGTGGCCTGCTGTCTTAGGAAAGGTTAACTGTATTTCTCTCCATCTCCCTCTGTAAACAAAGGTACATTGTCTAAGGTGGCACTTTTCCAAAGCAATGAAATGCAAAGTCACTGAGTCTCAGTGAGCAACGTCGTGGGTCTGAGCACCTCTGAAGTGGCAGCTGGTGTGACTTCCCCTCCGGAGGGGCGTTTGTGGGGCTGGCGAGAGGTCGGAGATCTGGCCAGATGCCTCTCGGGGAGCACGGAGTACTTGTTTCCTGGGATTCTAGGGTTTCAACCCTCTACCTACTTCCAGAAAAGAACTGCCCTCTGCTTTATTAAACTTGTCTGCACTTAGGCAAAGTGGGCTGTTTATCCTCTGTAGGGTTTTTCTTTAAAGGAGGGGGGAGCATGAGCATGTGCAGAAACCCATCACCTTGCTTTCCAGTTTCCAGGCAACCGTGCAGGATTACAAGTCACATGATATTCCTGCTGCCAGGGAGAAGGAGAAAATGGAAAACTGGGCTATCTTGAGAAAGGGGCTGGGTATAAGCTGAGGACTTTGGAGTCTCCTCCAGAAATATTATCAACAAGTAGTCAAAGACCTGGAGGCTCTCGAGGGATCCAGGCTTCTCAGCCCTTGGCCCAGCCTCCTGCTGGAGGGGCAATGAAGCACCAGACATAAAATTGGGGTGGGGAGTTAGGTGGAGGAGGAGGCGTTGGCCCAAGGTTAGCAAGCACCTGTTCTGGAAACCAGGCTCTCAGGGGGGTCATTAGTGAGAAGATCTAATCCGAACTAGGCCTTGCTTCTGAATCCCCATCTCCAGCCTCTGCTGCCGCCCTAGGATAATGAGGGAGCTGAGTCTGTGATTAGGGCTGCTGGGGGCAGTGAAGGGTCAGTGGGGACAGCTGGGAGGGGAAGAAAACCACCCATGGAGACCAAGTTTCCACTTCCTTTTTAAAGCCTCCTCTTTCTGATCCTTGTTTATTTTGATTTTGGATGTTTTGATTTTTTTGATCTCCCCTCCCCCAACATGTCTCTGTGTACACACGTGCACACATACGCACACGTGGCTGTTTATATTATAGACGCTTCTGTGGCAATTTATCCCTTTCTGTATACACTTTTGATTCCTGTAATAACACCCTCTATGGCCTGAAGACTCCCTGGAACCACAGGGACAGCTTTGCTTCTGGCCCCCTGGAGTTGCTGATGGCAGTGGGGGGGGGGGGACGTTGGCCAAGGGTCCCGTGCACCCACATTCTGGAAGGCCAGGCTATTGGATCAAGTAGTCGGGAGGTGGACTGGCTTCCAGTTTCCTCACACCCAAAATGATGTCCCAAGGCAAAGATGACTCATCCAGCCACACTCTCTCTGGTCTTCCCAGTTTGCCCTGAGGTGGCTGCATTTCACAGCCTAGGCTACTGGTCCACCCCCTCCCCCCTACAGCCTGGCCACCTGGAGAGGTGAGCCCAGAGGGCCACCCCGGCACGTCACATAGAGGCACATGTCCGAGATGGAGAGGCTATCTGCCTTGGCACCCAGGGACTGACATGGACTCTAGTCCCTTGTTACCATCCCATGGGCTGGGGCTGCGCGTGTGGGTCACAGCCTCTGCCACTTGTCCTTTTCCATCCCAGTGTGGGGTGTCACTTCCTTCCTGCATGTTTCAAAGTTCTGAAGGCTTAATGACAGGTCAGAGACACCTCTGTATGGAAAAGCCTTTGTCATCCTTTACTTTCAACAAGAAAGTAAATAAAGAAAAAGTGAGTACAGTCAGAGAGCCGAAGCCACGCACAGCTCCAGCGGTGCTTGGCTCTTCCTTTCATTCCTTGAGCAAATTTGGTTTACATCCTTGTTTTTGAAAAGGAGGAAAAGTTAATTATTAGCTTGTCATATGATGGGTCATTCTGTAACAATGATGAGTAAATGAATAATGCTCTATGTTTGTGACGTCTTTCTTGTTCCATTAACTGAGAAGAGAAGGTTTGCCTCATAAACATTGGGGGAATGTGGGCAGGAATTCAAGGGTGACAGTGGGGTGAGGAGTTTTCAATACATTAAAACTGCGGGTGGAAAGGGAAAAGACATTCCATGTCCGTTTAATATGTAACATATGGGAGGATGGGGGATGCTTGCAAGAGAGTGCTGGGTATGTGTTGTTACAGAAGGATAGTGGGTGTGCACAGGGAGGGTTCTGATGGCCAGGTTGGGAAGTGGGGGTTAAATCTTAAGGGAACTGAAGCATGCTTCCTAACCAGGTGTCAGATCCCATCTTAAGCACTCAGGCCCGTGCCAGCAGATCCACATCCCTATTCGCACATCCACAAACGCACGCACTGTGGGCTTAACTCACACTCAGATCCATGTGTGCACAAGCATGCACATGCCTTCTAAGTCCAGACCTGCATTCGCCCTGTGACACTTGGCCAGTGGATCGCGCAGGACTAGAAATCTCCTTAGGAGATCCTCCAAACCCACACTCCCAAGAAAACGTGAATAGAAGTGCAAAAGTGTTTGATGATAGGAAAAAAAAATTTGCTTGCTTGCAGTTCTTGCGTTGGCCAGAATGTTACAATAAACTGTTGCTTTCCAGAGCTGGGGAGGACGAGGGCAGGCGCGGTGGGGAGGAAGCTGGAGCAGAGAGGCCAGAAAACTTGAAAGACAAAATCAGAACTCAGGCTAAGAACGCCCCTGGGGTGAGGCGTCGGCAGTGGGGGGGAGCGCTCCTGGCAGGGGGCGAAGGAAGGCGGGGGATGAGTTACTGCGGAGTGAAGCGTGCGGCAGGGGCGGGCCGGCTTGGCCTGGCGGGCGCTGTAGCTTTAAGGCGGGCGGCGCGGGCCGGCCAAGCGCGGCTGTGATTGGCGCGGCGGGATCACTGGCTCCCCAAGCTCGGCCCGGGGGAGTCGGCTGGAGCCCGCTGCGCTTTGATAAGGTCCTGGCAACTCAGTAACAACGAGAAAGCTTGGAAATAAAAATAACCCCTCACAGCAAAGGATTTCTTGGCTGCCCGGCATCCGAAGAGCCCGTGTCCCCAGCCAAAAGCCCTGTTGTAAAAGGTAGAGATGGAGGCGCGGCTCCTGTAGAGATGATTCAAAGAAAGTCCCCCTGGGACAAGGGGCGAGGTCACGCCAAGCCGCGTTGCGGGCTCCGGGGAAGGGAGAGGGTCCAGCCCTACCGAGACCGGCCCGGGAAGGGCGGTGCGAGCCACCGGACGGCCCCCAGAAGGGACGATGGGGGTACCCGGGGTGGCCCGGGGAGCGGCCAGAGCGTACCTCCCTTTCAGGACCGTGCGCTCGGCTCGCGCCTTTGAAGTGCACAGTTAAATCCACAGCGCAGTTTTTGTTGGAAGCGCCCGGAGGACATTTGGTGCGCGGAGTGACTGCTGGAAACAGGACCTGTGTTGAAAGCCGGGCGGGCGGGGGCCGGAGGGGCCGGGGGCGGCCGCGGCGGGGGCGGAGGCCCACTCGGATCTTTTGCATAAAAGGGGCGGCGGGGAGCGCCGCTTCCCCTCCTTCGCGGGTGGATCTCGCTCTAATCCCGGATTGTTTCCCCACATCCCCTGCCCCTGCGGCACGACTCCCCATGTTCCCCGACGCCGGGACCGGCCCGGGGGGGCCCGGGGCTGCTGCGAGCCGATCCGGGGGCTGGGGCCGGGGCCCTGCCCGGGGCGCCTGCGAGGTCTCTCCACGGAGCGCGCGCGTGGATCTATGGTGAGTGCGAAGACTGGGGCGGCGTGGCGGTCCGCCCGCTTTGATGTGCGGGGCGGCCCTTTGAAGTTGGCAGGCCGGCTATTTCGGGGCGCGCTCCAGGCGGCCGTGGAGGAGAGCCGCGGGCCCGGCGCCCGGCGCTCCTGGGGGCTTGGCCCGGCTGCCCTGAGCGCCCTGCGTGTGAGCCCCCTCCCCAGTGGGGTGGCGGGGGCCCCAGGGGAGAGACTTCTGCAAGTGACGGCTACCACGGGGCGGAGGGGGGCTACATGTCCCCCAGGGTAGCGCATCGTTGTCGTAGTTTTGGATGTGAGTCGGGTTGTGAGTGTGCACTGCTTTGGAAGGTGGGATGAAAGGGTGGCGGCGCCCCCCACTTACCCTCCCCTCTGCCTCCTCCCTCTGCCTTTCCCCCCGCCCCCCTCCTCTCCTCCCGCCTCTTTCCCCACTCCCCTCCCTGCCACTGGTCTGCGCTTAGGGGCCCCTAGTGCTGGCCAAGGCTCAGTCTGCGAGCTGTAGCTGCCCGAGCCCCGGGCGCCCGCGTCCCCTGCGTCCCTCCTCCCCACCAGGGCCCTGCGCCCCTGGCCACTTCGGCCTTTTTTGCCAAGAGGGAGAGACTCCTCGCGTCGCCATTTCTGGACCAGGCTGCTGCTTTCGGTGCTTTTTCTGCGGGTGCCTGTGCAAGCGGTGGCGCCAGGGACCGACCCGTGCTGGGTCAGGGTGTTGCGAACGCCTCCCTGGGCTGCGGCTCCGCGCTCCACGGCTCTGGACGCATTCAGTTGGATTTGGACCTGGGGGCGGGCGGGGGGGCTTGGCGGAGATGAGAACCTCGGGCCGCCTTCGTCTTCCAGGTAACGGGGCCTCTCCACCTCCCCTCCGCCAGGGTAACGCGATGCTACCTCCAGCCCTACCACTCTGCCGGGAGTTGCCCAGCCCCGCGGCTTGAGGCCCCGGGTGGGGACCGCACGCACCCACTCCGGGGTCGGAGTCTCAGCCCCACGATTGGGGTCGTGCCCCATTATCCCACCCACCCCCCTCGCCCTCCGGCTCTTCTTAGCTGGAGCCCTATCCGTGTCGGGGAAAGCGGCTTGTTTATTGGTTAGACTTTTCTTTTGAAAAGAAGAGACAGGCTTGATCGAGGTCAGTAGAGTTTGGGATTCTTGGCATAGGCAGTGGTAGCGTGAGACGGTTTCTGATCCGGTTTTGTAGGGTTCGCGGCTTCGGGAGGTGGCTCGGGGGGCGGGGGAGAAGGGGTGGTGTGCCCCGAGGCTTCTCTGCTCTCTCGCAAAGTTTTCGAGATCAAAGTGTCATCTGATTCAGTTGATTTCTGGTTTGGGGGAGCGGGGAAGACAGAGGTATAGACTCTTATTCTTGGCGGGAAGCGGGGCGCAGGAACATTTACAGCTCGGGGGTGGGGGGGTCGTTTTCCAGCTAGGAGTTCGGGAGCCCATTCCGCCCGGTGCTGGGCGGGCCTCTTTCTCGGTCGAAGATCTGAATTTTTAAGGAGTGGGGAGGGGGAGCGCAGAAGGAAGGGGTGGGTGGGGGGAATGGGAACCAGATGCCGGGGAAGGGCACGTTTGGAGCTCGAGTTATCTGTGAGGAGAGCCGAGTGGGGAAATTTACCGAAATTGGTTTCACCTGCACACAGCCCTGCGGCTCGGAGTGCGTGTGTTTGGAGTGGATGCTGGGGGAAGGGAGGGCAAGGGGAGGAGGGAGCGGAGGCGCGGGCCGGCGCCCTCTGTGCTTCTGGGCGAGTGGGCTTTTGGAAGGTTGTGTCTCACACCTCGCACGCCCCTTCGTCTCCCCCACCTCCCATCTCACCTTCTCCGCCCCTTCCTCAGCTAGCCCCCTCCTCTTCCCCCCACCCTCCGCAAGTGCAGGGAGCTCAGATTTCGCCTTTGAAAAAGCATCTGATACCTTAGATGAGCACCTCGCAGATAGCTGGGTTGCTTGATTTGAATTCGAGGAGTTGAAAAGCCTGTTTACTTTCTTGCTTTGATGTTGGGTAGATCTGGTTTTGATTAGATCAATACCCTTTTCTCTCCCTACCTCCCCCCTTCCTTTTCTTTCCAGAAAGGAGGCTCAGATGAGCCCCTGCTGACTTGAGAGAGTAAGAGAGACCACGCTGATTGCTGAGAGGAACTGGAAGAAGAAAAAAAAAAAAACAGCACTCAAACTCAGTGAGAAGAACTCACTCATCATGAGTAGCAGCTCTGTGTTGGTGACTCGCCTGCCAGACCCCAGCAGCAGCTTCCGAGAGGATGCCCCCCGGCCCCCCGTTCCGGGAGAAGAAGGGGAGACCCCACCTTGCCAGCCCTGGGTGGGAAAGGGCCAGGTCACAAAACCCATGCCTGTCTCCTCCAACACCAGGCGGAATGAGGATGGGTTGGGTGAGCCCGAGGGACGGGCGTCTCCTGATTCCCCTCTGACCAGGTGGACCAAGTCCTTGCACTCCTTGTTGGGCGATCAAGACGGTGCTTATCTCTTCCGGACTTTCCTGGAGAGGGAGAAATGCGTGGATACCTTAGACTTCTGGTTTGCCTGCAACGGATTCAGGCAGATGAACCTGAAGGATACCAAAACTCTGCGAGTTGCCAAAGCAATCTACAAAAGGTACATTGAGAACAACAGCATTGTCTCCAAGCAGCTGAAACCTGCCACAAAGACCTACATAAGAGATGGCATCAAGAAGCAACAGATTGATTCCATCATGTTTGACCAGGCGCAGACCGAGATCCAGTCAGTGATGGAGGAAAATGCCTACCAGATGTTTTTGACTTCTGATATATACCTCGAATATGTGAGGAGTGGGGGAGAAAACACAGCTTACATGACTAACGGGGGACTGGGCAGCCTAAAGGTCGTGTGTGGCTATCTCCCCACCTTGAATGAAGAAGAAGAGTGGACTTGTGCTGACTTAAAGTGCAAACTTTCACCCACTGTGGTTGGCTTGTCCAGCAAAACTCTGAGGGCTACAGCGAATGTGAGGTCCACAGAAACTGTTGAAAATGGATACAGGTAAGAGTGGCTGGGGGTGAGGGGTAGGTGGTGGGTGATAGGAACCTTGCAGATGTTTTGAGTTACGTAGGGTGGATGGTTGGATGGATGTGTTTTAGAGGCTGACAAAGGTCTGTTGAGAGCTGGGACCACTGGCCATGAACGCTTTGATCTTGCTTTTTGTGGTTTAAGGGCTGGGGGAGTGATGCCCACATATCTAAATGCCTGCAGTCTTCCAGTGCTAAATTCAAACACTGGCAAGCAGTGGCCATTAATGCAGGTTACTTAGTTCTCTGGGCCAGTCTTCCAAAGTGTTGAGAGAGAGAGAGAGCGAACAGCAGCTTTTGATGCCGCTGAGTCACTAAATACAGTAAGCACCAGTTTGGGAAGGGGTCATTCACCACTAATCAGTAGAGATGGAATTAATGTGGCTAAGGAGGCAGCTGGGTTGTGGTAGGGACACAGGAAATAAAGTGTGTACCTATTGAATGTGGAGGTAAGTGGGATCGTTTGAACTTTTATGTGAAGATAAGAGCCAGCAATTGGGTCTTGTGAGTCTCTGTAGAATTAGGTATTTACCCAGTGAGAAACCCTCCTATTTAAAGGGAAGGCCCTGTGTCTTTCCTGAATGAAGGACCATATGGCTTTAGAGCCTGCTGGTATGAGTCTAGGTTTTAAGTGTTTGCAGCCTGTAGCCGGAGGGGCAGACCTCAGCTGATTATTTTGTTATTTTGTGCCTAAGGACCAGAGGTTTTGGGCCAGAGAAGACTGGGGCCCTGGAGTGCTTTCTTTTCTGGAGGCTTCAAAGACAGGCCTTTACAGAATGGTCAAGTCTTAAGATTCTTGACCTTTGGAGGCAACTTCAGACCTCCTGTGAGCATGAGTATTCCTGTTTCTCTCCCTGTCTCTCCTCCCGGATATTCAAAAAGAGAATGAGACTCTTAATTCTAGGTTGTTGCCTACGGACTGCCAGGGAAGGGGGTGGGCACTTACTTGATTGCTATCTCGTGGTTTATCTTGCTAGCCCTGGTATATTTCTCCATGTGTTAAAGACGCGGGCTGCTTCCTTGGAGATTGCTCTCTCTCTGTAGAGGCTGGCCTCCAGTGTCCGGCGGCAGCAAGAGGAAGGAGGGGCAGGGCAGCCAGGTTTGAATCCGGGAGGAGTGATTTAGGGGGTGGCGGAGACTCTTCCCAGGGAGGGAAGGGCTTGTTCTCTAACCACCAGGGGGCGCTCTGACATTCTCGGGAGCCATTCACAGACATCTGGTCTACACCTAAGTGGAACTGATTGGCTTTTGCAAGGAAGCATAGAATCACCTGAAGGAGTTGTTTCAGTATCTTGATGCTTATGGTTTCAGGTTGTTATAATGAAGATACTGGGTCTGGCCTCTGTGGCTGGGCAGTCACGGGGGCACCGGCTGCTGTTGTCTGATTCCATTACGTGAACGTTTGAGCAAAACCTGCTGGCCTTATTATCGCCCTCCCATTTGTCGGTGGTGGCTCGGACTCCTTAAAGCCCACAGTAAGGCCACTTCTTCCTCTGGGGCCTCCCAGTAGTGGGGCTTCTGTGTCACGACCCCCAAGTGTCACCATGTAAATAGCATTCTGTGTGGTTTTGGATGCCATCAGTCAGAAAGCGCTGAAGGCAGGACCCTGCTGCAGCCCCTCCCCTTCGTGGGTGAGCTCTAGACCCAGCCTTGGGGTGCTCCTCCCTTCCACAGGCCTCGGCTGGGATAGTGCCAGGATTAAACTTTGGGGAGGTTACCCTTGTGAAGCTTTTTGATCCCGGAGGCTGGGGCCACAGACCCTTTGTGTTCCCAGTGTTTTGCTGCTTGGCCGTGACCTGTGGGCATCATCACCATGTACGTGGCACCTTGTCATCCACCTCTTGGTGTCCGTGTGTGCCTTCTCCCACTGTTGGGCTGGAACAAAACGTCTTTACCAGGACTTCACGAAGCCCCGACATCTTAGCTAGCCATGATCAAAGACATTAAAGCCACATCCAAATTTCACTGTAACACACAAGATATTCAGGTGTACGGCAGTGTACTGGGAGGTGTCTTGAATTATTTAAAGGCCTGGGTTCCAGCCCTGCCCACACGTCGTACTGCCACCTGGTGTAAACCTGTCTGAGCCCCATGTGCCATCTGCAAAATGAGTGGGCACCCTCCTGTCTGCTTGTGTCATAGTTGGCTGTTAGGATCAAAATAATAATCATGGAAGCCCTTTGCAGAGGGAACTGTTTTGAACAGATGTAAAGCATTATAATTACTATAATTTAATAATGGTAACAGTTGGGTATGTGAAAAGGGCAGCCAGGTTAAGATGTCACTTTCAAAGAGTGACTCTTGGGTTCTAGCCCATATTCATTGCAAGGTCTCATGTCTCATCTTTTTCTAACTTGTTGAACTGAAGTCTGTCTTTCCAGCTAGTTCTTGGGATGGGGGGGGGGGTCCTGTCTAACACTTAAAGTGCCCCTCCTGCTAACACACTCTCTCATTGAGCACGGTATCTGACTTATGGGATGGGCTTTCATTAAGTTGGCAAAATGAATGAAACAGACAAAAAATGCGCCCTTCTGAGGGTCTCCCCTCATCAGCTGTTGAGACACAGCCCAGAGCACTGGCATCTTCCAAGCCCTGTTTACCCCGGGCACTCGAAGGGGCCTCATCTTTAATGACTTGTTTGTGTCCTTACTGATTTGGTGTCAGGTTTAATATAAATAGTTGGAACGGAAGAGCAGGAATTATCCTCAGAGGGAAGGACTCTAGTTTGCGAGTGGTTGAGTGGGAGGCCTGGGCTTTTGATGGTCTCTATAAATAACCCGGAGCAGGGGTGACCTGTTGGTAGAAGCACGTGTAAAAACCCCAGCGCACAAACACACACACACAGTGGCGAGGTGTGTGTGTGGAGGGGGCTGTGGGATTAGGAGCCTGGCCCAGCATTTATTTTGGGAAGGAGAAGACAGCGTTGGGTGAACAGAGCACTCCCTGTGTCCTTCCCTGCCTGCGCTGGCCCTCGTGTGTTCCTGCCCGAGGCGGGTCTCTGTCTCTCCTTGGACCCTCTGCTCTGGCCTCACTTAAAATAAGTCAGGCCCAGCAGATGGCCCTCTGCCGGCTCCAAGTGCCTCCTGCTCTCTGAAAGAACTCGCTGATGAGGCCCGTTTTTGTGCGAAGCCATTGGAATCAAGTTTGGCTTCAATTATCAAAGAAAATGATGCCATAGGAAAGCTATGCTGGAGGCAGTAGGCCACAATCAGAGGATGGAAGCTCCCAGGAAGGCAGTTTTCGAGGACCCGCTTGTAAAAGCCCGCCTGTCTCCTCAGGGCCCGGTTGGCTGCTGGTCTCTGAGTGCCCGGCCCTCGTGGAATGCCCCTCGGCCCTGCCTTCGAAAGCGCGTGCTGAATGGATGGCGACTTTGGGAGTCGATTGTCAGAGGGCTTTTGGAAAGCCTTAAACACACAGCCTTAGACGCACATGCTTTTGAAGTGTCATTGTTTTTGAGAGGGGGGCCCAGAATGAGGTCCCAAAGGTCAGTTCCGTTGCCTTCTCTGTAGGGGACTTTGCCCTGATGCCTCGGGAGGAGGCAGGGGCTACAGCATCTCCTGAAGATAAGAGATAAGAATAGGCTCCAGGGTGGGTGAAGGAAGCAGCAAATATGTCCCCAAGAAGTAAGGTCCCAGGGGCCTCTGCTACCTGCCAGGTGAAAGCCCTTTGCACATCGAGGCTGCGCAGTTGGTCCGCCCGGTGAGGATGTGTAACATAGGCCTCCGCTCTCCCTGGGAATTTAAAACCCTGCCAGCAGCTGGGATCACAACAGCCCTGAAGAAATAATCAAAGCATCTGGGTACAATTACTGTAGCATGGGTTGGTTGAGGTTTTTTTCCCTTTTTTTCCTAAGTAATCACAAGAAAACAACTCTAATCCATTTTTTAAAAATTATGTGGTGATTTTTGACGAAGTTCGGGGCTCTTGAAAATTGAGTTTGTCTCCCCCAACAACCCTGCCACCATCCTGTGCCTCATCTCGTTATGATGGCAGGAAAACCCCAACACTTCCCCCTGGCAGTCCACAGAGCTCAGAGCGGTATATTCTGTGTTTAACAACTGGTCACACAGTAGCCCTCTACTTTGGAGGCAGAGGGAGACGAGTTTATTTTGGGATCCCATGTGTTCCAGGAGTGCAAGGCGGCAAGCACCCCGGGATTTGAGTTAGGTATCTTTTTTGTTTGGGGCGGGAGGAGGAGGGGGGGTGTCTGTTGAGTCATTTTCTCCCTGCAGAGGTTGAATTATAACCCTTATTACATTTGGGACTCTGTTGATGTGCTAATACTGAAGTGATGGAAAGAGTGTTTGAATGCTATTAGAGGCCGTTTTGATCTTATACTCTGCCTTTGGACTAAAAAAAACCTTTTCAGCAACCCATGGGATAGTCTGGGTCTTCTAAGGAGGTTCAACAAAGTCTCGAACCTCTGCCCCACATCACGAACGCATGTTCGGTGCTGGGGAGACACAGGGGAAGAAGATGGTCTGGCCCTTGCCCTCATGGAGTTTACGGTCTGCTTGCACGGGGCAGGCATTCAGCATGTGAACACGCCACCGCTGTGTAATTAGGAGTCATGATAAATACCACAGAAGAAAAAAGAGCTATAGGATCTCTGTTTTTGTTGGTGGTTGGTTTTGGGGGGGTTTATTAAACTGTGACTCCCCCCACCAAATTACAGAGCTCTCGTTTGGCCTTTCAGAGGACACGAGGACTTTGTGCAGGTGGCCATGGTTGAACTGTGTGTGCTGCAGGTGGAAGCCCCGCCTCCAAGGGGGCGGTGACTTGCCTGTGACCCCCCAGCTGGCCGGGAGCGGAGCCAGCATCAGCTCTCCACCTCTTGATTTCTGTTCCTGATCAAGGGCTTCCGAAACTTACTTTGTACTGTGTTCCTGAAGACGGGAAGGGGTCCTGAGGAAGTTATCTGGTCCGTATTGCTTTGAGCAGCAGCCTCTCCTTCCCCCCAAGCCTAGCACCTCGGATAGCTGGGAACTTTGGGCTATTTTAAAGACTTGGGCGATTCCATAACCCACCCGCACCCACTCTGTGGTCCACTGAGACCATTACCAGGGGCTTTTCTCTTTTTGACCTATAAAGCCCATTTCCTCTTACTCTGCCTTGGTGCAGACGAACCAACCATTCTCTTCTGTTTGGGTTCCCTTATCAACTGAGAGGCTGTCTTTACAGCTCTTCTTTTCCCCCCCCAGAAAATCCAACTGTCTTTCCTTTGCTGTATCTACTCCTCTCCAGCCCTGGGGCCTGGGCGTCCCAGACTGAAGACATGGGGCCTAGCTTTAAGCACAGAAGATCTGATTTAATTCTTCATCCTCATTTAATTGCCATAAAAAAAAATCCTGGGAGGTAGTGAGACTTCTTGCCCTTTACAGGTATGAGAACAGGGCCAGAGCATCTGATTGACAGTTCGAGGTCCCCCAGACCAAGGCGTTTGATAGGTTTAAGTGCCACCTTCTTCATTTGCACCTTCAGGTCAATTCCACATCTACGGAACGGTTCTAAAACCTGACTCTGTTCCCGTCTAGCTCACTAGACTTAATCAAGGTACCTGCCAACCACGCTCCTTAAGGAGTCCAGCTGTGGCTTTCATGTGGCCCAGCCTCCAGGCTGGTGGCCTCCCAGAGGCTTTTGGGCCCTGCCTGGGGCCCCATGACCTCCTTAGATGGTTGTGAGGATGAGGGGTTGCAGCAGACATCCATTGAGCACCTACTGCACGCTGTGTGCATCAGTGATGGGAACAAAGACCCCACCCATATTAAGTGTTTCACCAGTGGTAGCTCTTCCTTTTCATCAGCATTTCTAAAGAGTTGGGTTACATCATTTCCAAGATTCATTTTGACTCTGAAATGTTATGATTCTGAAGGTAACTCCTCCTATTTGTCTTGTCATTCCAGCCCCAAGAGTGCAAGCTCCTTAAAGAGGGTGACTGGCCATCTCTTCCTCCTTTTTCCTCCCATTCAGTTCTGTCCTGCGCCTGCCCCATTTTAGCTTTCATACCAAATTGTGGCAAACACTGCCTATCCCCGCAGCCCACCCCCTACCCCCACTTCTAGTCCAGCCTGGTGCACAGCCTCTGGGTCACTGGTGCTGCTGGGAAAACCTCAGACCTATGCCCCGCCCCTTTGTAACCCCACTAACTCCACCCCTTTCCTCCCCAGGGTGAGAAGGACTTTTAACTGCTTTCCCTACTCCAGTCCTGGGTGGCAGCTCCTTGAATTCCTGCTCAGCCCTCCGGGTTCGTGTTGCTTCCACCTGTACCAGGGAGCCACCCCTGGCCATTCATCTGGAAATGTCCTCTCCATCATTAGCTCTGCCAGGATTACCTCTCCAAGGTCACTCGTCCTGCCTCTTATTCTAGAACTTTCTAAATGTTGAGTTTAGCCTTTGTATTAGGAAACAGAAAGAGAGGTTGAGAGAGAGCCGCACAAACCGATCCCATGCCCACTCACGCTGCCTCTGCAGTCTGGGCCGGGCCGTGCGTGGGTGGGACCACCGAGGGCACACTTGTAAAGTGGGCACAGCGCGCCTTCTCCCCCAGGTGGCGATGAGGATTAAGTGATATGCGTGTATACATACAGGTGTGCCTCTTTTCGTGGGCCTGTAGTAACAATGTCTGCCTCCCCCGTGGCGCCCCTTCTACCTCCGTTTATGGTGACATACCCCTTTCGGGCCATGGGTACCCCACAATCAGCCACAGGCTGGCACACCAACAGCCCACCTCAGTGCCAAATGCACAGTGGGCGAGGAGGAGCTCGGTGAACCCCAGTGTAAGACTGCTTTGACCTTTCACAGTCTCTCTCATCTGCACCAAAGGCCGTCTTTATAGTCCCCGCCTGCAGGGCCCAGAGAAAAGAGTCGGTTCTTTTCGCTGGGCCGCCCCACTCGTTCCCCTCCAGTTGCTTCCTTGCTGTTGGTGTAGACTTGGTGGCTCTGTGGAGTAGGCTAGTTTTTATCAACAAGGTTACCGACAGCATCCTCCTTCACAGGCCCCTCCTGCAGCCCCAAGACCACAGTGACCCCATCCTCTTCCTCCCCGCCACGGAAGTCGCTAGCCGGTGACACAAGAGGAATGCGACCCTGTAGCAAACAGCCACACTGGTTGTTTTGGGAGGAGATCAAGAGAGCAAACTGGGGCAGCAGGCAGAGGCCACTGAAACAAAGGGGGGACGCTGGAGGGGGGGCCTGGACCTTCCTTTGAAACAGCAGTGCTGCTCATTTGAAGCCCGAGGACCTCAGCCAGCCTGGGAGAAGGGCACACAGAGGCCCAGCTCAGGGTGGGGTTCCAGTCTTCAACACTGTCTTGAATTTTTCTGTCCCATCCATCCAGCTCACTGGGCCCGGGATTGAAATGCGACGGCCGTTCCAGGCCTCCAGGGGTTTGCGTCTCAGAACTGCTCTAACAGCTGTCTTAGAAGCTTCAGATACCTTAGGGCCCAACATTGTCTGCCTCTGGTGCCAGCTGGGAAAGAGGGCAGGGAGGACGAGGACACTCCGTGTCCACTGACTCTCCTTTTATTCCACAGCCTCCCCTCCCAGAGCAGTGTGCCATCCCTTCCCCTGTGTGAGGATGTATTTAGAACTTTGTAGCATCCCCTGGGAGACCTTCCTTTGGGGACAGAGGAACGCAGCCCACTCTCTGCCCAGAGAGCACCTGGCCCTGGGCAGCAGGTTGGCGATGAACAGATCACAAGATTATGCACTTGGTTGCCCTGGGGTCACCTGCTACCTGGGCGTCTGCTGAGCATCAGTGACGCACCACCGCTGTGCTTCTTCTGCAGGCCCTTCAAGAGGAGCGAGCCTGTTAATCCATACCACATAGGTTCTGGCTACGTCTTTGCGCCAGCCACCAGTGCCAACGACAGCGAGATATCCAGTGATGCACTGACCGATGACTCCATGTCCATGACGGACAGTAGTGTGTAAGTATTCTGGTGTCCCCATCATGTGCACGGTTGGCACTGCAACCCCCTGAGCCAGCTGCAGAGTCCTCAGCCACCTGCTCCCAGCCTTGCACATCCCGTCAGTAGACACGTATTTGGTGGTTGAGGAGAGAGACATGGTGGGTGGGGTAGAGGCTGGAGCCTCGAAGGGAAAGTCAGGTGGTGCCTTAACAGAAGAAAAGTAAAGGAATGTAGAAGGTTAAGATGAACATCTGTAAGTTCCTCGAGTTTAACAACACATCTTCTGCTTATCATTTTGCCTTCCCTGTGGGCAGGCGTGCGTGGCTGGTCTTGAAAGCCAGGAGGTGCCCCATCTGCAGAACCAGCAGGTGGGGGACAGGGTGGCCTCAGAAGGGTGTGTGTTTAGGTGTCTGTGGTCTTTGAAGGAAGAGGCAGTGACGGTGGGAGTCAGCAGGCCCGAGTTTTCTGAAAGGCCGTTGCATGCAATGTCCCCTCATGAACGTGTTCAAATGGATGTTGTTCCGTTGAGTGAGTCTTGGTGGGATGCCCATTCCGTGTCAGGTGGGGGCTCTACCCCCTTGACCGGGATCCTCCCAGAGTTCAGCTGATCTTGGATCTTTTGCAGATGATTGGCTTTGATTTCTAAAAGCGATCCAAACCATCAGGATGGTCTGTGAGATCAGCAGCCCATCAGGCACGGCCATATCATGCGTTGAGTTTCAGGGCATTTGTGGTCCCACACTGGTGACCTCTGTGGATGGAGAACAGCTCACATGCTACACCAGTTTCATAGGGTGAGGGGTGTGCAGGGTGGGGCACCTTGACCTCCTGCCGTCCTTTGTGATTCTGGTTCAGGAGACTTGGGCAGAACTTTCCAAGAGCTTTCCACCCAGTGCCCAGTCGAGAACTGCCGTTCTAGAAATGTGCTTTGAGGGCCCTTCCACAAATGTTTTCGAGTAGGAATTTCTCCCACTGAGGGGACAGCTTTGAAAAGCAAACCCATTGAGCTGTGTGAGTTCTGGCATGCTTACTCAGAGTTTGTTCCTTCTACCTTCCCAGTAAGAACCGGACCACCTATTCCAGTGTGTTTGAAAATATCAGGCTTTTCTTAGCCAATGCCCTGTTGCTGCCTGGGGCGTGGAACCAGCTGGAAGGAAAGTTGATGGGGAAAGTTTGGGACTCCTGTTGATTGAAATCCTGGAGGCTGTTACTGTGTTACCCTGGATTCCCCTGTCAGTAAAGGGAGAGAATTCCTGAAGATGAAACAAACGTTCCACTTTCATAAAAGAATAGTATTTTGGCATGAGTGAAAACAGAGTAAGGGTGCACATCTTACGTCCAGCATGGAGGAACGAGGAGTTCTACCAAAGTAAGTGGGACCAGACTCCTTAAGTACCCGTACTGGAGAAAAAAAACCCTTCAGTGGACAGTTCCTACTGTGTGTTTGCTCTGTCTTTATTGAATAATATTAGGCAAAATCTATATCTTTTAAAATTAATTTTTGTTTGTTTCTTACTGCTATTCAAGTACGGTTGTCTCCATTTTCACCCCTCCACGGCCCCCCATCCCACCTGTCCCCGCCTCCCACCCTCGAACCCACCTCCTTTGGCCTTGTCCACGTGTCCTTTATACATGTTCCTTGATGGGCCTTCCCCTATTTCCCCCCACCCCCCTCTCTCCACTTCTGGTTACTGTCAGTTTAGTTTGTTCTTTATTTCAGTGTTTGGCATAATTTATATCTCGATACAAATAGTAATACCGAGATCTGCTTTCCCAGTGCGGTGTGTGTTTTCTCGTAGAAGAGGAGGTTACGTGGGGCTCTCCGCCCCGGCACAGACTGACCCGCCCTCACTGGCAGTGATAGTTTTTCTCTCCTCCTTCTGCCTGCTGTCGGTTTGTTTGCTTGCTTGCTGTTGTCTGGTCACTGGCTACTGGTTCCATTACTCCTTCAGCTTGTATTATTTTGTAGGTGGTGTGGGAGTCTCAGCATTCAGTATAGAATAAGGGTAAATCGGATTTGAATAAGGGCCTTGAGTGACTCTCCTAAGTCAAAGGTAGTTTATGTAAGACCAGAAGGCTTCTGTTTAGTTTCCTTAGAGACTGTTTTTGGCTGGCTTCCCGGTCCTTGCCCTCGTTTCATTTCGGTCCCCACCGAAGTGTTACTCTGGGTTCCTGGGGAGATAACTTGGGTGAGGTCCCCATCCGTGTGCAAGCCCCACAGACCCAATCGGAAAGGTGGGGAGTCCCCCTGGGACCTCCAGGTGGCAGTAAGGCCCGTGCTTCCGTAGCCTGTCTCGGTAGAGGCGAAACCCTGATGCAGGCCGGACACAGCCTCTCCCCCTCCCGCCCCACGAGCACGCACATTTCCAGCACGAGAGGTGTTATTAGGACCAGTTGATAATGAGACCTTTGAGCCACTTGGAGTTTCTTTTATTTTTACTAGTGATCGCCCACACTGCTTCCTTTTTAAGGGGTTGGGGGAGGGGTAGGAAGAAGCAAGTTCTAATTCCCCTCTGCAGGCTCCCCCCTATGCCAGGAAAGACTCCCTCACTTTTTGAGAGGTGACTTTAAAGCTCAGACCCTCCTGCCCTTTAGCTAAAGGACTTGTGGGCTTGCAGCAGCAGGGGGCAGATGAGTTACCTGTGTGAGTCAGCCTTTCGGGAGGTGAGCATTTGGGGTGTGGGCCAGCGAGGTCCACGCTGATGAGGCAGGTCCCTCCGAAAAGGGCGGCAAACCCCTCGCTTGGCAGCCTTTTCCTGAGGGCACAGTACCTGCCCTACGTCTCAAGTGGCAGAACCTCGGGCTCCGCCTGGGGCGAAGCTGCCTTGGCGTGGTGATGAGTCAACCAGGACCCAACTCCAAGAGGAGGCACCTGGGGGCTCAGAGAGATAGGTGCTCTCGTGGCATTGGATCTGATTTCCTGATGTCAGTGTTGGGTGGCGCTGAGCCTTCTCCCAACCAAGGGGCAGGTCATCAGAGGGCCCCGCTGCAGCTGGACCCGCTCGGGCACGTGCACACCACCTGGGGAGGCCTGCGTGGTCAGTGAGACCACCCTCTTGGGAATGGCTTTCCCAGAGCTGTTGGCCTGGGGCTGCCTGTAGTACAGGAGAAATGGGTCTCCAGAGCCCCTTGTTTGGGGTGGGCGTTTGGGCTTAAAGGTTCTGTGGGTCTCAAGCTGCCAGGTACTGGGGGCCCCTGGGGCCCGGCCTGCTGTCCTGCCCAGCAGACTCTGCGTGCCCTGAGAGCCGGGCTGCGCAAGGCGTTTGCTGGCTGGCCAGCCCTGGGTGTGTGCAATTTGCCCAGTGTCGGGCAGGTCGCCCCGGATTCCCAGGGCTGGGATTAGACCCCTCGTCAGAGCTCTGCCAGCTGTGGGCCCAGCGCACATGAGAGTGTGGAGGGGAAATAAAGTGTGTGGGGATGAAAAGCCGAGTGAATCGCTTTCAGCCCATTGTTCGCCCGGGGAGGCTTAGAGGGGATAAGAGGGTGGCAGGCCCCTTTGAAATGTCCCTGAACAAGTGAATAGGAGCGCCCCATAAAGCATGAAAAGGCCTTGGCTGTTTCTCCTTGTCACAATGGCCAGCTCGGGCTGGAGCGGGGCCGCGAGTGCGGCTGGCTGCCCTGCTGGGAGCTGCAGAGGGGGTGCGGCTGGGGAGGGGGAAGTGGGGGTCATTGGCGGTCTTCAATAGACTCCAGAAGGTTGGAGTTCATTAGATACAAGCCCGGGAAGCCATCGTCTCATTTGCGACAGCACCAATGAAGTCCCGGGGGCCTGTGCAAGAGGCCTGGGGAGAAGTTGGGCAGGGCCGGCCTGCACTTGGTTATCCCACAGAGCCGTGCACTGGGGCCTGGAGGTGCCGAGCAGGCAGGGGCTTTAAAGAAATCAGTGCCTCTCTACAAGCCTCTTTGCTGACTCCTGTTTCCCCACTAAGGAAAGCACCCTATTAAAGATGGCTGGGGCCCCAGCCGGTGTGGCTCAGTGGATTGAGCGGCCCACCTGCAAACAGAAAGGTTGCGGGTTTGGTTCCCGGTCAGGGCGCATGCATGACTGGGTTGGGGGCTGATGTTGCTCTCCCTCTTAAAATATGTTTTTTTAAAAAGGTGGCTGGGGTTTGGGTCTTCGTCGTAGGCCTCTGAGAAGGCTGTTTTACGGGCCTGTTACTCTGAAACCAACATTCTTAGAAGAAATGGCCTTTTAACTTTTTTTTTTTTTTGGAAGTTAGCTGCCAGACTCCCAGCCAAGTTCTAAACCCCCGTCTCTGGAGCACTGGGACAGGAGGGTCAGGGGGCCATGCCCGGGGACCAGGCCTGGCGGATGCAGCCGGGGGGCTGGCCACCTCGCAGGCAGCAGGCCTTTGCCACCCACGAGTGGCCGCTCTGCTGGAGGCAGCCAGGCTTTGTAAAGGGCACGTGTAGGTGGCGTGGGAGTGTCTCCATCTTGCCACTTCAGTGCAGAGCTGCTCACAGAGCCAGGAGCAGCTTGGCTTGAAGGCCCTGGGCGTCGTGAAATCAGTGCAGGACACTCCCCTCACACCTCACACAGAGGGCGGCGCGGGTCATCTTATTTATTTATTTTTATTTCCTTTTATCTTATTTATGGGTTTACTTTGGACACCAGGGACAGCATCCACGTGAACTTCAAATATTACCTTATCTTACAAACCAGGCTTTTGATGTTGGCTGTGATCAGAGGCGGCCCTCTGAGCGGCTGCCAAATGGAAATGCGAGTGGACGCCTGCGCGCATCAGCCTGCGATTTCAAAGTCGCCGGAAAACGACATTCAGGTTAGGCCAGGCACAGCGGAGTCAAAAGGCTAAGCTAATTGGCTCGGCTTAAATGGCAGCTAAGTGGAGTCCACACTTCAAAACCCCTGCTCCCCAGAAACAGCTGGGCCCCGCAGCCGGCTCGTTAGCCGAAATGTTTACAATGAAAGGGGACTGCTCGTCCGCTCTCGGTTCTGAGCCGTCAGGAAGCGGATCGTAGACTTTTAGGGCCTGAATTAAAAGGAGAGAGGCCCCCTTCTGGAATGAGGGGCTGTTTTGGGAGAAGATTCGTGGCTGGGGGAGAATTAAAGCCACATTTCCTCGAGGCGCCTGTCAAAGCCTCTTTGAGCCTCTACAAGTTGAAATCTCTCTCTTCCTGCCCTGGCTCCTTCAGCTGCCCTCTGTTCTGTGTGTGTGTCGGTGCCTAAAAAATAATTTGTTCCTTTGGCCTTCAGATCGGCCAGTGACCTGCTTCCCCTTCCCCCCCATACCTGTGTCCCCCAGTTCTCTTCTTTCTACCTTGTATGGAAAAAGAACAAGGTATAAAAGCCTTACCACTCACCCGACTTCCGTCTGGGAGGAAGGAGGAAAGGTGGAAGGTTGCTGGGGGACGTTCGAGGACAGAGTCCTGGAGGGATGGAGCCTCCTCTGGGACTCAGGAAGCCCTGCGTGTGGCACAGAGGGGGGGTCCACGGCACGTTTGACTGCTGCCTCCAAGATGGTCAGGAAGGGATCTGGACCAGAGGCCTCACTCTTCAATAAGTTGCTGCTCAGGAGAAGGGTGTGGGTGTTGGTTTGCAGCCCTGAGGCCACAGGAGGTGGATTAGACCAGCATGAGACCCAGTCTATGGGGACCCCCCCACCCCCAGGCCACAGGGATTTAGGTTAGAGGTGGGGAGAGACTCACTGTCTTTGGGAACCACCTGGCGTGCCCCATGGCCAGGGGTCCCAGGTGGTGGTGGTGGGGGCTTTCCAGGGAGGAAAGCCGAATCTCCCACTGGTCCTGTCAGAATGTCAGGTGAGTCTATGGGGCTCAGGAAGTGGTGCCTCCACGTTCGGTCAGGAAGCTTGGCTCCTCTGGTTGGGGCTGGGTGTGGAGGTGGTTGAACCGAGGACATCTGTTCTGGATCCAACAGCAGTTGCACTTGGACCCTGGATCTGACTGCTGCTGACGGGGACCCTGGTCATCTCAGATGGGGTAGACTGCGGCTTTCGTGAGAACGCAGTGAGATTCTGTGTTGGGTGTGTTTGACCCTCCATAGGGACTCGGTGGAGGGAGCTGGCAGTCTGGGGTTGGAACCAGTCACCTGGCATGGAGTTGGGTTACTGGTCAAGTCAGGTGTGCTCTTGAGAGCCCCGTCTTATCAACAACCCTCAGGTGAAACAGCGAATCTTGGTCAATAAGCTCCAGTGGGTCAGCAAGGGCCTGGGCTGGAACCTGGACTCGGTCTTCCGAGGCCCGTCAAGTCCCAGGCCCAGTGAGTAGGGAGCTGTCTGGGCAATTCGACCTGCTCTGGTCAACAGGCTGCACCCCCCGCTGCCCCCCCACCACGCTAGCTGCCTCTGCCCTTTGACCTTTCTCTGGGACAGAACCCATGTGTGTGTGAGTCTTTGCTTTAGACACAGATCTCCCTCCCATCCCCTCAGCACTCACGGTGATCCTTTGGGTGCGGATTCTAGGCCAGGGTTTGGCTCCCAGATCACATCGTGTGTTGTGAGTGGTGTCACCCCTGCGTGGCCCTGTTCTCCGCTGGCCTAGGTCAGCAGGCGTCCAGCCCCGGAATCCCAGGGCGCCGCCAGTGCTGGAGGTCAGCTTCTGGCCGCCCCTGCGGATCTCTAGGTGCTGCGGCCGTTCACCGACTGCTGAGTTAGCTGTGTCTTTCTCCCGCCCCCTCTGAGGTTCAAAACACCGGGAGGAGAGAAGGGGCCCCACACGTAATTTCAATATTTACGGTCTCCAGGTGCGATTCAGTGTGACGTTGTTTGAGCACGAGGCTTCTGTAAACAAGTGGCCTGAAGAAGGGACAGTGATGGGGAAATTGTCCCCCCTTGACCATTTGGCTGCTTTTAAGAATAAACATTAAAAAAAAATCACAGCAATTCCAGGTTACCTTTCTAGTGAAGACTAGTGGGAGTGGAGCACAGGTGTTTCTCACCTCTGCTACTTGCTCTTTTGGGGTGGGGGGAATGGTGATGAAGGACACGGAGGCCTGTCCTCCTGCAGGTCTGTGCAGGGCCTTCACAGACGCCCCCCTCCCCCAGCCACCTGGCCTGCCTCACAGCCAGCGGGTACGGAGTGGTGGGGGGACGGGACTTTGCAGTTGCGACCCTCCTCCCCACCAGTGGCTTCCTCTTCCCACATCCTGTAGAGTTTCGTCCTGGTACTCACCAACTTCTAATGCTCTGTGGAGTTTGCTTTTTTATTTTTGCTTATTGCCCAGGCGACCCCGTTAAGAAACAAGCTTCCTAAGGCAATCCCCTGCATTTTTTACTCCGTTCCTTGACTGCTCTCTTACCCAGGGCCTAGACCAAGGTTTGGCACGTGGTCGGTGCCCAGATATTAGAATGAATTGCACAGAATGCCACACAGGAAGGGCCTTTTGTCTTTATGCCCATGTTGGTCATGTTTTTGAGACTTCATTGGTTGGGGATGGTAGGGTTTGGAGCCAAGGGAAGGAAGGGACCCCAAAGGTACCCTTTTGGCAATTTATATGAGAAAGGAATGGGAAATAAACACCTGGGAGGCTGAGCGTTGGAGACGCGCGTGCAGCTTCACTAGCGCCTGGCTCAGCCCTCTGGGTCCGGCCCCTCTGCCCACAGTATTTTGCCCCGGGATGCTCCTTAAGGCACACCTGCTTTCCTGTTTCGGGGCAGTGTGTTGCCGTGGCAACAGACCGTTGGGAGGACCTGAGGGGTCTTAGACTGCTGTGTGGGGCCCCTGTAAGACAGGGGAGCCTTCACTCTGGCTGGAGTATAACCCATTTCTCAGAGAACAGCCTGAGGAATGGGCTTACCATGACTGTTTCGTGTGGGTGACCCCAGTCCAGGAGGGGGCCGTGTCCAGAGATGAGTGATGGATGGGCAGGAGGTTTGGCAGTTGGACGGCGGGAGCAACCATGGCACCCAGGATGGGGGTGCACTCCCGTGGCAGAGTGTGGCCCCATTCCTCGGCAGGATCTGAGCGTGGCTTCTGAGCATGTTGCGGGCTGACAGCATCCTCTTGAGCCTGGGGGTTCTGTCTCTCCCCTTCCCTTAGAGATGGAATCCCTCCGTACCGCGTGGGGAGTAAGAAACAGCTCCAGAGAGAAATGCATCGCAGCGTGAAGGCCAATGGCCAAGTGTCTCTACCTCATTTCCCGGTGAGTATAGTCTAGAGGGGGAGGCGGCTGTTCTCGGCCATGTTGAGTGCTGAAGAAAAGGGGTGGGTGGAGGAGGGGGTGCAGAGAGACAGGAGGAGGGGCAGTGCTGGGGCCTGCTCGGCAAAGGAGGGGGAGGGAAGGCCAGGCAGGAAGTGCTACGTGGCTCCTTGGGGTGTGGCACTGAGCAGAAGGGAGTTCAGCATGACCTTTCTGAACCTTTATATTTTCTCAATTCATAAAAGAAGCTTCTCTGTGAGAAAGAAACCCAAGCAGTTCCCTCCCAGACACCAGAACGTGATAGGAGATAATTCATGTTTCTCATCACTTCCCACTAGAATGGAAGCCCCCCAAGGGCAGGGAGCTTTGTCTGTTCTGTGAAATTCCATATTCCCAGGAACTGGAACAGTGCCCAGGCGCGCCGGGTACTTAAGCAGACCCTTGCTGATTGAATGAATGGACGGACGAATGAATGAGGAGGCTGGAGGAGCCGGCCTCCCGTGGGAGGCAAATTTCCTCCCTTCAATGTCCTGCTTGTGCTGACTGTGTGTCCCAGCCATTTCTGTCGGCTGCTTCTCCTGCTGCCTCCTGAAGCCCTGGAGGGCAGCTGGACTGGCCTGTCTTTTTCCAGCCCCAGAACGTGGCTTTAGTGCCTGCTGTTGGATCTGCACCTACTGTGTGCTGAGTGAATGAAGTGTTTGGAGGTGGGGATCCCATGAGCAGCTTCTTCCTGTGGTTGGGGAGCCGGCGTGGCATGAACGGGGCCCTCCCCTTCCAGTTCCACATCCCGGGGGGCCACCAGCACGTGGCCCCCTGCTCCCAAAGAACCTTACGGGCCACGTTTCTGGAGCTGTGCCTCTAGAGCGGTGCTCTGAGATCCAGGTTGCCAGGGTGCTGCTCCTGGGGCGAGGGAGGAGAGTGGCATCTCTGTGTATGAGTCCGTCCCACCAGCTTCCAAGAGTCCAGCTGGTCCATGGGCGATGCTACATTTAGGAAATTAACACTCCAAGGTGCTGATCCGGCGCAGCATTAGTGCGCGGGCGCTGATGCTGGAGCACCTCCCTGGAACCTCCTAGCGCAGTCTGGGGCAGACTGCCCTTTGTCCTGAGGTTTAGCGTATTAAAATTGCTTCTCTGGGAAACTCCAGCATCCCCCTCTTCAATAACAGTGCCCCCCCCATACAACTGTATTGATGACACACAAATTTCTTTGATGGGGCAGGGGTGTGTGCACTGACAAAGAAAACTTCTAACACCCGGGCTTGTAAATGAGGTGATCCTGCCCTGGTGTGCAAAGCAGCTTTCCCCAGGAGGTGGCCCCTTCCCCGTGTACGCCCTGTGTAGAGCCAGCCCTGTGAGAGGGGCCATCTCCTGCTGGGGAGTGTGTGTGGGGGGGGTTCTGTCCCTTCACTAGTTCTGCAGCTGCAGGGGAGAATGCCGGCCTGCCCAGGTTGGCTGTCTGCTGCCCCCATTGCCCCCCAAAGAAAAAGGCAGAGCAAGAGGGAAGTGAGGAGAGAGGCAGAGCCACCGGGGAGGAGGGGTGGGCAAGATGGCAGGAGGATGGAAAGCCGCCGGGCTGTGGGGGTTCTCGCTGTTTGCTGCTTTTGGCAGGCGATCTCCGTGCCTTTTTATATTCCGCACTTGATTTGGAGATGTTCCCTTTTCCCTTGATAGAGCAGCTTCAGGCAGCCAAACTCAGCAGTGTTCTGCTACTAGCCCGCAGCAGCTTTCTTCATTTTCTGTACAAAGAGATGGGGAGGAGGGGCGGGGGGAGCAGGCAGATCTAGGACAGTGTTGAGACAACACCACCTCAAAGGTGCGCAGTGTGCGGCCAGGAAGTAAAGTGCCGCTGCTTCTGATCTGGCCGTGCGGCTCCCCTTTCCCCCTCCCTTTTCCTCCCCCCCACCTCCCTTCCAATCTTATTTTTTTTTTTTTTAATTTCCAACTCCCTTTCTGTTTAGACTCTACTTTTTATTCCTTGAGTTGGTCTCTCTCCCCTCCCCACCGCAGAGGCTGCCTTTTTTTTTTTTTGATGTTTGACAACAGTCTTTGAAGATTTTCTACTTCAGAGTAACTACTGATGGGCTGGTTGTACTACAGAGAGAACAAGCGGGGCCTCTCGGAGTGCGACCAACTGCTCCTGCCCAAGGCAAACGCTGGTGGGGACCATGGCGCTCCATGAGGCCACAGTGCCTGCGCATAAAGCTCCCCAGCAGCCCGGGCCGCGCTCTGCCTGGACCTGGAGCCACCAAGCTCTTCGCTGGCCCAGGGAGCTCTGGTGCAGCCGCCCTGGCCACCACGCACCCAGCCAGCTGAACACGCCCGCCCCTTTCCTCCCCGTACCTTGCAGAGAACCCACCGCCTGCCCAAGGAGATGACCCCTGTGGACCCCGCCGCCTTCGCGGCTGAGCTGATCTCCAGGCTGGAGAAGCTGCAGCTGGAGCTTGAGAGTCGGCACAGCCTGGAGCAGCGGCTGCAGCAGATCCGAGAGGTAGTGCTGGCCCCACCCAGCCTGGCCTTGTGCCCTGCCTCCCCCTACCCCACGCATGCCGGGGTCTCTGCTGCTCACAGGCCCCCCACCTTCCAGGATGAAGAGAAGGAGGGCTCCGAGCTCGCACTGAGCTCCCGGGACGCGCCCACCCAACACCCCCTCTGCCTCCTGCCCTCCAGCAGTTACGAGGAGGACCCGCAGACGATTCTGGACGACCACCTGTCCAGGGTCCTCAAGACCCCTGGCTGCCAGTCCCCCGGCGTGGGCCGCTACAGCCCCCGCTCACACTCCCCCGACCACCACCACCACCCCCAGCTGTACCACCCCCTCCTCCCTCCCGGGGGCAAGCTGCCCCCCGCTGCCTCCCCAGCCGGCTGCCCCCTCCTCGGGGCCAAGGGCTTCGTGACCAAGCAGACGACGAAGCATGTCCATCACCACTACATCCACCACCACGCCGTCCCCAAGACCAAGGAGGAGATCGAGGCAGAGGCCGCACAGAGGGTGCGCTGCTTCTGCCCCGGGGGCCCCGAGTATTACTGCTACTCCAAGTGTAAAAGCCACCCCAAGGCCCCGGAGCCCGGGCCGGCGGAGCAGTTCGGGTAAGTGGCAGGCGGGCTGGACTGACCTGGTGGGGCTTCCCTCCCGACCACAGCCCTGGGCAGGTGTGAGGTGGGGTCAGAGCTCACTGGCATTTTGTTTCCAGGAAGGGGGTGCGGGGGAGCAGGTGCATGTGTCCCTACCACCTTCCCATCTGTCCGGTGGGGGAGTCCCAGAGAGGTAAAGGGGCTGTGGTCTTGGTTCCCCACAGCGGCAGCAGAGGCGGCACCCTGCCCAAGCGCAATGGCAGAGCCACTGAGCCCAGCCTGGCCGCCGGGGACGGAACGGGGGCGCTGCAGCTGCCGGGGGAGGAAGGAGACAGGTCGCAGGATGTCTGGCAGTGGGTGCTGGGGACCGAGCGGCCGAGCAAGCCCAAGCCCCATAGGTAAACACCGCCACCGCCAGCACCACCCCCAGGAGGGTCGGGGCAGTCACCGGAGCTATTGTGGGGTTGGCTATTTTTGTCGTCGGCCGGAAACAAATGTGACTGTTAGCTCCTGCCATCTTAATATTAAATGTTGGACCGAGCGGACCACAAAAATGCCATGTTTTGGCAACGCCCCCTGCTCGTGTTATGGTAGTTATTTTTTTCTTCTCTCCCTGAAGGCAGAACAGAAAAGTTTCTCTTGAAGTCACATTTTCCAGTTTTTCTAACCCAGTTTCTTTCCTTCTGCTTTCTCTCTCCTCATTCCTTGTTCAGTGCCCAAAGCACAAAAAAGGCCTACCCCTTGGAATCGGCCCGCGTGTCCCCAGCCGAGCGAACCGGCCGACACCACCTGTGGGGGGGCGGCAGCGGGCACCCCCGAGCCGCCCCCCGCACCCACCCGTTCACCCAGGACCCTGCGATGCCTCCCCTCACCCCACCCAACACCCTGGCGCAGCTGGAGGAGGCCTGCCGCAGGCTGGCGGAGGTGTCGAAGCCCTCGAAGCAGCGGTGAGTGGAGGCGGCATCGGAGGTGAAAGGCCTGGCCTGCTGCAGGGAAGGGCCTTCTTTTCTGCGGGGCCCTGTCCTTCCTGCAAGAGGAGGAGTGGCCTCTGGCCGCGCGGCCTTGTGCTTTCCCACCTGGTTCCCTTTAGTGCCATTCGTCCTGAAGCGCTAATAACCAGGGTGTGTTGGGCAACTCGTTCAGTCATGCCTTACAAATCCTATTCCTTACGAGTGTCTGCATCATTTCAGCCTGTTTAGATGAGAGCTTAAGAGGCCATGGCTGGCTGATTGGAAATCGAGGGCCTTTAGCCGCTCACCTGGGTTGGCCAAATCAGGGGGCTTCGGATGGCAGTGCCCAAGACGTGTGCCCGGCCCCCTGGAGCCACTGCCAGCTCAGAGCCTTGATTGGGCCTCCCCGTGGATGAAAGTTGGGTCTGTGTTCAGAAGACCGCAGGGGGTCGTTTTCCATCTGCCCCGCTTTTGCCCAGGGGACAGGAGGCCTAAGCAGGCTTGCCTCTGAACCCTTTGCTCCGGCTGCGTCCTCAGGTGCTGCATGGCCAGTCAGCAGAGGGACAGGAGCCACGTGGCCGCTGGTCAGACGGGAGCCGCACCCTTCTCCACCCCAGGCCTGGCTGCAGAAGAGTGAGTGTCCCTGCCTGGCCCTGCCGAGGCCCACCCGCGGTGTCCAATTAAGGGTGCTACTCACCATTGGGAGTGGAGATTTTTGAAAACATTAGTTATATGAAATCACCTCAATTTTAACATGTTAGTGACCATTAGACACAGATGTTGCCATAAACTAGGATCTTTTTCTTTTAAAGACTTATTTATTTATTTTTAGAGCGAAGGGAAGGGAAAGAGGAAGAGAGAAACATCAGTGTGTGGTTGCCTCTTGACCACCCCCTACCGGGGGCCTGGCCCACAACCCAGGCATGTGCCCTGACTGGGAATCAAATCTGCAACCCCTCGGTTCGCAGGTCGGCACTCAATCCACGGAGCTGCACCAGCCCAGGCTGTTAACTAGGATCCTGAAAACCCTGCCTGTGCTCCGCAGCGCATTGCCACTTGTCCACAAGTGTTCCCTCCCAAAGTGATGGGTGGCTCAGGATTCCCGGGCACATGCTCTGTGAAAGTGGAGATGCGAAGCCGTGAGCAGAAAGACCCAGGGGCCCCAAGTCCAGACGCAGCAGCAGTCACCCCCTTTTAGCTGTCCCGCTGGCAAGTTGGAAGCCTCTTTGTGCGCACAGAGCAGGGAGCTGGCTCTGCCCCGGTGCAGAGATGGAGGCAGACGGGCTTCGCTGTTGTGCTCGCGGAAAACTGTCCCCCAGTGGTGCCGTGGTTCCTTTCGTGAGTGTGAACTCTTACGAAGTGGGCAGAGAAGCCTGGCTTCGTTTAAATACAGGAGGGCGCTCTCGAAAAGAAATCTGCTGAAGGGGTCTAAAATGGTCTAAAGAATTTTAAAAAATTTTTTTCTTCTTTATTTTGAGCAGTGAGCAGTGTCTGCAGCCCTGAATAAGCCACCACCCTGGGCCCTTTTGTTTTAATTGGTTGACCTTAAGTCTACCAGCCATTCTGGCCCGAATCTTGTGTTGTTGGTTTTTTTTCAGCCACTCTACAAAATCTCGGAATAAATGGGGAAGTGGAAATGACTGGGCTCTCCCAGTGGTCTCTAGCATTCCAGGTCCTTGCCCTCCCCGGCGCGGCTGGTGGGTTGGGGGGTGGGGGAGGGGTGTGCTCTGAGTTCATCTCCACAGCGTCCCCTGCTGGTGAGTGTCCTGTCGCTCTACAGTGGTTTCTCTGTCGTCTTCAAGGCAAGCACTCCATGTGTGCCAACCTGAAAAAGGCTGCTCTGTCCCCCCCCTTTAGGTGGTAGTGGGAGAAACAGCAATTTGTACAACCAAAGGAATTGTCCCCTCCTGTGTGCCCCTCACTGGTGACCTGGAGTTGGACTTTGTTCGCCAGAGACGCTGTTTGGAGAGCGCACACACGTGTGTGTTTGCGTGTGTTTGCTCGCTGCCTTCAGATGCTGAGCTTGCGTTGTATCTTATTTTCAGTCACAAAGAGCCAAAGAAGCCAGCAGGGGTCCACGCGCTCCAGGCCAGCGAGTTGGTCGTCACTTACTTTTTCTGCGGAGAAGAAATTCCATACAGGAGGATGCTGAAGGCTCAGAGCCTGACCCTGGGCCACTTTAAAGAGCAGCTCAGCAAAAAGGGAAATTATAGGTGAGAGTCCTGTGGCTTCTTTCTGTTCCAGAGTTTGTTGAGAACCAGAGTCGTGGGAGGGGCTGGGAGGGCTTAGGGAGGGCCCAGGAGGCGGAGGGAGCGCCTGCCTCCTCGCCACTCACAGAAATAACGCAGCAGTGGGCTCGGGGTGGGCTCTGTGGACCAGGTGAGCAGACTGCTGAGGAGGAAGGTGGCAGTTGGCTTTGTCACAAGGAGAACTGGGCCTGGGCCATCTGTGGGGCTCTGTCTAAAAGAGAGAGAGGTAGGAGGGAGGAAGAGACAGACAGACACACACACACACAGGTGGGCAGACCAGGCAGGAGCCTGAAAGACTACTGTCCTGTCGTGGGCACCAGAGAGACGGTCCACACTGGAGGCTCGGGGGAGGGCAGAGACCGTTGCCTGGAAGTGGGGGCAGCATTCTCCTTACTCGGCTTTTCTGCCCAAACTGCTGTCTCCCTCTGTCCTGTGGGGTCCTGTGAAGCAGGGTGCTCTTTGTCCACAACAAAGAGGGGGCAGGCCCTGCGGGCGGGCGGGCATCGGGTGGACAGGGCCCTTGGGAAGGGAGCTTGCCCACCCTCCAGGCTGCCTTTCCCCGTCTGCACAGTGGCGATGCCCACCAGGCCTTCCAGGGACCTGGATGGGATTAGAGCCGGGGCCCCATTTCTTGTTTATGTTCTCTCGACCGGGGACAGGTGGTAACTCCACCTCAGTTCATCCAGAGTCCCACCTGCCCCTGCTCAGTGGCCTTCATCCCAAGGGAGTATGTGGGTTCTGCTCCAGCTGTGTCTCAGGTGCCACCTGCAGGGCTGGGACAAGGGACAGGCAAGTACAGCACCAGACACTTAGCTTAAGGAGCACAGTGTGTGTCCAGAAGGTGTCCGCCCATTCCTGCTTCGAGCCAGGGATGGGAGTGGGGGACCTCAAGAGCGCTTAGCGACCTGCCAGGTGGCCACGGGCTTCTGGACCCAAGCGAGTCCAAATCCAGATCCCCAAGACCCACCCCTTCCTTGAGCACCCACCTCCACCTCCACCTGGGAGCTGATTTGGGCAGGGGGTCCCAAGTGATTCCTTTTCTCAGGGGAAGGGAGGTGGCTGAGAGCGGGGTGTGGTGCTGGGTTTGGGGCTTCCTTTTCCACACCTGGGCTGGGACAGTTCTGAAAACATGTCAGGGGTTGGGGATGGGCCTGGCGCTGCTTTTTTTTTTTTTTTTAAATCTTGAGAACAGACACATGGTGAAACTAATTACACAAGTGTGCCCCTTTAGGGATTCATTTTGATCTGAGCTTTGGCCCGGCTGGACTTCGAGGGGAACTGCAGGTGACCTCCAGGGGAGAAGGGCTGTGGAGCGCCCAGCAGAGGCTGCAGGGGGGGCTCCCTGCTCAGCCACTCCGTCTGCATCTGGCTCTGATTGTTCTTTCTAAGGCACATTTAATAAGCCCGGCTTTGAAGCCCCGGCCTCCCCTTTAATGCATGAAGACTTGCACAAATGGTCGATGCTCAGATTCTTTACTGATTGGATCAGGCTGTGGCCAGGCCCTTCCCAGCTTCCTTACCTCTGAGCTCCTGGCCAAGGCCCGACTCCCCATCCTCTGGGGTCTCGGGCACAGGGTGCCATACTTCGCCCCCTCCCCACCGCCCCCAGCAGGGGCAGTACTGGCGTTCAGTTCACACCCCACAGCCCCCACAGGGTAAGGCCCGGTGAACACGAGTCTGTGGAGTGGGGGACCCGGGCTGCATTGAGTAATCTCTCCATGGCCGAGGTTCAAAAACAGAACAGCCCCTCCAGACGTGCCAGGCGCTATTGGTGCCAGATGTCAGTAGAAAGCGGAGTTTGCCACATAGAGCCCATTGCAGTGGAAAAGCCCGTGTCTTGGAGGGAAGGAGAGCAGCGAACACTTTTGAAGTCTTGGGGGTGGGGCTGGGGGAACATGGCCTCTCTCCTCTCTGCAATTATGTGAGAGGTCATTGCCTGTTTGCCGAGAAAGCCCAGCTCCGTGAACCTGAGTAGGGGCTGGCGCTGGGGGCAGAGGGGTGTGTTGGAATCGGAGCCTCTTATTTGGAAAAGTAACTCTTCCCGCCGTCCGGGGTCTCCCGAATCTTCCCGGCCCCCACCCCCACCCCAGACCCTCCGCAGGAAGCCTTTCCACCACTGACCCAGTAGAGCCCACGCTGTAGCTCTGCCGAGAACCCTAAAAACAAAGAACCTTGACTAAACCCAGCTGTTTCACTTTATTTAGCCTTATCTCCTATGAAAGTATTTGGCTTGCCTTCATTAAAGAAGAAGAAAAAAAAAAACCTCAGCTCTAACTAAGGGGAATTAATTTTAAGAGAAAAGACAAAAACAAAAGACAGCCGTAACCCTGAGACACAATTAAATTTTTTAGAGAGGCTGTCCCCCTCCCCCCAGGGGACTGTGACTCTCCCTCTGCGACTGGCCTTTATGGGTTGGAGATGACAGCTTGCAGGGATGAGTTGAATTTGATCGAGGGGGTGTGCCTTGCTGGGGACTGAGAAGGAAGAGGCCTTCACTTCTTTTCCTGGGAAGGGGCCTGGGAGGATGGTCGTTTCCTGAGAGAGGCTGGCCTAAGGGAGGGCTCATTTGGGTCCATACAATTAAACAGCCTTGTAAGACAGAAGGCCGGGTGGGATAAAAGGAACCTTTAATCAACAGGCATAATAGGAGAGCCTTCCTGTTGGACCGTGGAGGGGTGGGGATGAGGAGGGAGGGGTGGCTGTCCTGTAGCTGAACCAGAGACCAGCTGAGGAGTTGGCACCTGGGTGCCAGAGGGTGGGAAGACCAAGAGGTATCAGCATCCAAGCAGGCTGGAGTCTGCCTTCCGCAGTTTCGGGTGGCTCAGTCTGGGGTCTCTGAAGAAACCCCCCTTTTGGCTGTGGTGGCAAATAAACTCCAGGCCCACACCCCCAATAAAAAGGGGAGAAGGAAGCAGCTGTGCTCTGTGAAGTGCACTTTTTGCAATGCGAGTGTCGGTGACGGCAGCAGTCCTGGGCTGGAGGGCTCTGCCTCCGAGCTGTTTCCGGGCCGCTGCTCCCTGGGTGCCCAGCTTCTCCCGGAGTGCCAGGGCCGCCGCCCGTGTGTGCCGGTGGGCCAGCCACAGGGTCATCTCGATCAAAGGGCCGAGGTTTCCCTGCACACCTGCTGGGGCGGAATCCTAGGGGTACCCCGGTCCTCGTGTGGACATACATTTCCCTTACAGAGGAAAATGCAGTTTCCCAAGGTGATTTTGGGGTTTTCCTTTTAAGGTATTACTTCAAAAAAGCAAGCGACGAGTTTGCCTGTGGAGCGGTGTTCGAAGAGGTCTGGGACGATGAGACCGTGCTCCCCATGTACGAAGGCCGGATCCTGGGGAAGGTGGAGAGGATCGACTGAGCCCCGGGGCCTGGTGGTGGCCAGGCTGGAGTCCGCACGCAACATGTTGAAGGAAAAAAAAAACCCAATGAAGACAAAGTCTAGGGAAGAATTGGCCAGTGGGCCTTCGGGAGGGTGGGGGGGGGGGTGGAGGTTGGTTTTCATTATTCACAAGCTGGGTACTGAGATAAGAAAAGCCTGAACTATTTATTAAAAATATGACCACTCTTGGCTGTTGAAGATGCTGACTGTGTCTGAGAGACTGCCATACATAATATATGACTTCCTAGGGATCTGAAATCCATAAACTAAGAGAAACTGTGTATAGCTTACCTGAACAGGAACCCTTACTGATATTTATTGAACACCTGCTTACCCCTGCCCCCAGTTTATGGATATGCTGCTTTAACCACGGAAGGGGGGACAGGACACTTTCGTTGTTCTGTCTAAACTTAGGAGTGGAGCTCGGAGTGCATGAATGGTTTCTGCATTAAGAGGAATTATGCTCAGCCCTGCATTTTCTCCAAGTGAAGATAGACTCTTGTGTTACTTAATGGTGCCCTACCATTCACAACACACAAATTGGTGCATTTATTTTCTACGCTGCTGTATTCTATCATAAAGGTCTTGAGGTTGGACTTACGTTGCAATAATACCATCATTTGGGGGGTCATCTTGTTCGATGGGCTGATCATTGCTGAGTTAGGGGGAGCCTCGGGGGGCCCAGATTCCCCCTGGGAGGACCAGGGCCCAATAGCTGAGGCCTATAACAGCGCTGTGGTTCAGCTTGTGCTTTTGTTGAAATAACTGTTCTTGGAGTCTTTTTTTTTTTTTTTCTGATTACTCTTGGGGACACAGCTGTTCTGGAAACTGCCCCCCCCCGGCCCTGCAAAGAAGGGAACAGTTGTGGGAAGACCCAGCAGCGCCCTTTCTCCAGACCCCTTCCCCTGGCGTCCGGGTTTTTGTGTTAAGTTAACCTGTACACCCCGTTTGCCCGTCACTTGTACATACGTCTGTATATATCGTACGCAGAGTATTACTCCACTATCTCTAGTGCTTGACCTTGAACCAGTACAGTACCTGTACCTGCACGGTGTCCCCAGCCGTGTGTCGCCCTATATTGAGGGCTCGAGCTTTCCCTTGTTTTTTGAAAGGGGTTTATGTATAAATATATTTTATGCCTTTTTATTACAAGTCTTGTACTCAATGACTTTTGCCATGGCATTTTGTTCTACTTATACTGTAAATTATGCATTATAAAGAGTTCATTTAAGGAAAATTACTTGGTACAATAATTATTGTAATTAAGAGATGTAGCCTTTATTAAAATTTTATATTTTTCAAAACACCGGCCTCGTCTTCGAATTCTTGGAGTGGGGGGCAGGGCAGAGGCACCTTCCTGTATGGGAAGGTCCGGGCTTCATTTCCCACCTGCTTGGACCGTCCCCGAGCAGACCTGGAGCTCTTCCCCGGTCTGGGCCAGCCCTGGGCTCTGAAACACTCTTCACCTGGATGCCTGTTGCGGAGCGGGCTGTACGCTGCGTTTCCTCAGATGTCTTCCTGGTGCCATCTCCGTGGGCCCCTTCCTTCCAGGCAGGCCAGGTAAGTCCAGGTGATGAGGGGCACCTGAGTTTTAATGGGCGTCTCAGGGGCCAAGAACCTTAGAAAATGGTGTGTAGATCTGGAGTGTCTAGTGGGGCCGATGGACCCTGAGCCCCATGCCAACCAGCCACCCTCTCGAAGGCTGAGGAGACAGACTGACAGCTTCAGTGAGGGTCTGGATGGGGAAGGGGGCACGAGGGTGTTTCTGCACCAGTCAGTTGGCTCTGGTACCCGGGGCCATGGAAGTGGGTGGGAAGTGAGCTCAACAAAGACGTGCACCACCCCCTCCCGCCCCATGTGCTGGGACACTGGGCTGCCGGGCTGTACTTCAGATCTAGGGGAGCAGGTCTATTTAAAGGAGTCCTAGGATAAACCCTTTTTAGAAATAAAGGGTCTGGAGCGTGCTGGGGTTTCATGAGGTGGGGTCTGCAGGTGACTGGGTTGGCTTCTCGTCACTAATGTGCACAGCCTTAAGGCTGATGGAGTAGAGTCGGTACTGGGACCCGGCTGTGGGGTTAGGGGCTGGCCTGACTGGGCACCTCGGGTGGCAGGAAGCCGCCAGGCAAGTAGGTAGGTGTGTACGGGAGCCAGATGATGGGCTGGCTGCAAGGTTACTTGAACTTGTCCCTAGTGACGCAGCTTGCTACATCTTTTCCCCTCCTGGCTGCCATAGGGGCTCACAGCAGGGGTACCCAGAACCCACTTTCAGAACTGGAAAGGCTCCTTTCGATCTGAAAGGATGAAGAGATAGAACCTGCTGTGCGTGATAGGGGTCAGGGTACGTGGCTTTTAATCTTCAGGCCTTTTGATTTATGCAATGAGAATAACAAGGTAAGACACGGGCTTGGGGCTCAGTGAAACCTGGGCTCAAGTTTCAGTGCCACCCCCTTCTGGGGGCACCTGTGAAAAACCAAGGGTCAGGCTGGCGATAGCTTGCGTTTGCACCTCTTCCAAGAGGGCCTGTCTCTCCGCTGCTCTCATTTTAACAATCAGATAAAGTGATTGTTAAATTATCACCTGCGTGGTGGCTTCTGGGATATAGACCCCTAACACTGCATCAAAATCACCTGTGCCTTCCTCCAAGGAGAGGGCTTATAGCTTGAAAAAGGTGAAAACGTGGCTAGTGCTGGCCTTCCTTCCCTGTCCCCAAATCACTCAAGACCCAGCTCTTCCAGGAGCCCTCCCCTCCCTCCTCTAGTCCCTTGGGTCTCACCTGGGAGCTGGTGAAATGCAGCTGCCCACTCCAGACCCACAGACTGGGCAGCACCTGTGCATTTCCAGGCCTCTCCTGGGGACTCCTGGGCACCTCTGAGTTGCACCCTCTAGTCCTTGTGGGTCGTCCCCTTTCTAAAGCCCAGCTTCACATCAGATTCACCCACCTAGCTCTGGTTTCCTAGGCGCTTCCATGAGCTCTGGTCTTATTTTTCTGATTGATAGTTAACCACTGATCAGAGGTGAAATGCAGACTTTGAGCCCATGGCAGGCTGGCTCTGGGAACCACGGTCTGCTCCTCTAGTAAGCGGGGACATTATGTGTGCCACCTCTGGGGTTTGCGGTGATGGTGAAGGGATGTGAGGTGGCTTAGGGTCTCAGCAGGTCCCAGGACCACTTACAGCACGACCCTCACGGCCCGCACTGTAATCGGTTAGCTTCTCCTGTGGAAATTCCATCCTCCCCCTCCGGCTGCAAGGCTAGGGCTCTGGCCTCCTGCTTCTCCAGCCCCCAGTACAGAAGCAAGAAGGCAGTGGGCAACTGAGCGGCAGGCCGTGTGATTGGGAAGCGGACTTCTAGCTAGAGCCGCGCTTTGGTCCCAAAGCATCTTACAGTTTTCTTCATTAAGTCTGTGACCTTACACAGTACTTGGATATTCTGTGTGGACTCTCCCCTAAGGTGACAGTCACGTAGAGGGGCTTGAAATATAGGGGTTTGGAGAAAGGATCCTGCTGTATCCCTCCCAGGGAGTTACATCACATAGATGTTCCCACAAACAGGGATTTACCTGTTTCTTAACAATTACTATTTCACTTCATCAACCAGATTTTCTAAAAATCTGGTGTGAGAATGAGTCTCTCCCCCAGGAAGTGGGAGGCAGTGACTTGGTTTAAACAAACAAACAAAACACACACACACAAACATACTGCCACTCGAAAACAATTTCAAGGCATGTTGGTAAACACTGGCTGTTACCAGAATTCCCCCTGGGAGTAGCCAGCCTGCTTGGTAGAGTCTCTGAGACTGGAATCCATACAGACCTTGAGCTCTCATGGCTTAGGGGTGTGTGTGTGTGTGTGTGTGTGTGTGTGTGTGTGTGTGTGTGTGTGTGTGTGTGTGTGTGTGTGTTGGGAGGGTGGTGCTTTAGAAAGAATCTGACATGGAAAGAACAGCAGCCCCCCGACAGGGAGGTCCTCCACCATCTACAAGGCCCAGCTCTAAAAACACAAATTCCTGTGCTCCGCCCCCACAGACCTTGTAGTTCCGGAAAGCGCTCTGCAGCGCGGGACCTTTGCACATGCTGTTCCCGCTGCCCCCAGCCCATCTGGGGGTTGTCTCCTTTTCAACCTCAGGTCTTGACTTAAATGTCAGAGGTCTTCCCTGCCCATCAGGTCCTGACGTGTCCTCAGCGGAATCCATCATCACAGAACGCTCTCCATTCTTCCACTGCACGTTCTAATTTTATCTGTGCAATTACTTCATTGCCCATGCATTCATCTGTGAGGCAGAGAGTAAACGTGCTTTTATTCACCATTGTGTGTGTGACACCCAGCGTTGTGGCTGTCACCTAGAGGCACTCGATGTTTATAGAATTGAAGAAAAAAAAGAAAAATTGTCTATAGTAGTATTACCCAAGGTGAAGGTAACAACTATTAACACTTTGCAGTATTCTTTCAGATTAAAATATGCACACATACACAGAACCATACTATTTTGTAATCTGCATTTTTTAACTTAATAACAGATCATTGGCATATTTGTATATCAATAAATATTTTTCTATATTCTACAACATGACTTACATGTATGGTTGACCTATCATTTAGTTAACTAATAACCTATGCTTGGACATTTCTCCAGTTTCCAAATTCTGCAATTATAAGTCATTTTGCAATGAAAAATTTTTAAAGTTTTATTTATTTTTTAGACAGAGGGGAAGGGAGGGAGAAAGAGAGGGAGAGAAACATCATTGTGTGGTTGCCTCTCACGCACCCTGAACTGGGGACTTGGCCCACAACCCAGGCATGTGCCCTGACTGGGAATCGAACTAGTGACCCTCTGGTTGGTAGGCCCATGCTCAGCCACTGAGCCATACCAGCCGAGGCTGCAATGAAATCTTTATAGCTAAACACTGCCCTGGTATTCATAGCTAGAGAGTCTTTAATGATTAGGTTGAAGGTTTCCCAGGTAGAGTTTCTAAATCAAAGGCCCTCTTATGGGTTTTGACCACGTCCTGCCAGCCTGTCTGAGGCGGTGGCTCGCTCATCTCTCGAGTCCCCAGTGTCTTGCACACAGCTGACATCCAAGCCAC